TAGACATGCACAAAGGGCACCACAAGCGAATATTATAATTTTTTTATAATATGCAAACACTCGTGTTCGAGCACGCACATTATAGTTATTACTTATATATCAAATTGAAAGTCTGACTGATTGACCAACTGTCTAACTGTCTAACTGGCTAACTGACTGCCCAGCACCGGAAGTGCGACGACGCGACGCTAATTTTGTTTTGTTTTTTTTTTTTCGCATTGGCCGCACATCGTTTAACGTATTCGTGGAACTGGTTAAGCGGGGGCCACAGGAACTGGAAACGTGAATGGGAATGCGAATGGGAAAGGGAATGGGGATGCAGATGGATACAGGGGTAAAGGGGGGCATGTGTATGCGGCTTAGGCAGCCAGTCTCTAATGACTGCTCATTTTGTCATTATTCTGATTATTGCTGCCGCCTGTCGCATTCATTGTAAAACAGACATTCAACATTTAAGTGTTTGTTTATTCAAATGCATATGAGGCTATATTGTCATTTATATGTGGAGCAGCATTTGATATATGGATCGTTTAAATCGCTTTAGCCGAGGGGAACGTCAGCTCCAAAAGAGCACCAAGTTTTTTAAAGACAGAAAAAACACTTCATTGTGATGGAAATGGCTTTGTTATCTATCACTGAAGAGGGCGACAGCAGTTGCTGATATACAACTTGTAGACATTAAAAACTATAATTTTTTTGAAAATTCAGATGTAATTTTAATCAGTGTTCACGATTATGAGTAATCTATAAATATTTAGAAGTTGAAATGCTTCGAACCACAAATACCACTGCTCAGCTGTCTTTTAGTATCTAACAACTCTTTGAAAACACTTTTACTGCTCGAGTTATTTTGTTATTATTTTTTTGTAATTTTTAACAATTTTTCAACATTTTTTGCAATTTTGAGGGACTGGGAGCAAACATTAATAAACGTTTTTAGATTAGTAGACTACTATTTTATGAAATAGTACCTCGGAAAATCAAACCCCGAAGCAACCAATTTCCTTTCGAACATCAGAAAATTTAAATTTAAATGTCGTCATATTGTAAGGAAGTTGTGACTGCCTACTTTATGGCAACTTTTTAAGCCCTTTCATCGTTTTTCCAAATAGTAATTAGATATCAAGTATATAGCCATTTAGAGCATATAACTCGATTTCGCATCATTGCTGCGCCATCGGTTATTATTCCTACCCAACTATAGAGAAAGTCACAATTTTTATAGTCGGAGTTGAATTCCAGCTTATAGATAATGTTCTCCATTGAAGAATCGATCAATTGATAAACGCCGTAGAAACTCACAGTTGCTAAAATGTAATGCAAATTGCAGGGGCAATATAAAGGCAATGAGCTGTGTCGAAACCAATAAAAAGTGCAGCGCAATTAACTTTTACGTAAAACCGTACACATTAAGGAGGAAAAATCACAATTATATTTTGTATTGTATTCAGTTGTTTCTCCAGTTTATTGTGGATATGTAAGCAATCAAATACCGCTCTAAAGACGAAACAAACTATTTTTACTTCTTCATATAAAAGTGGACTAAGTCGCATGCAAAAATATGCTCAAGATCAATGTTTGGAAGATATACATCAGCTATTATTCCCTTTGCAATTATCGTTCAAAGGCTGACATCACTTCAGGTGTTTTCAGACAAAAGCTTAATTCGTTGATGAATTCCAATGTGAATAGAGACAAGATAATCTGGCTTGCGATAAAATAATCGACGCTGATCAATGAATCAATGACATGAAACTTGAAACATGTGGACTCACTATTCGAATTCATCATGCCTGATGCCTGGAAGTGGTCTAAACGATATCTTCGTTTCTCAAAATTCAGTTCAATGGGTTAAGAATAAATTTAACATTTAGATATTATTTGTTTTCAGCCTCATTTTTCATGCCTGGAACCACGACTTACCACATCGAAACGAGTCAGGATAGAGCCATTATTTTATTTAATTCTACGATGCTTTGTATTTATTTTATAAATAATAGAATGATAGCATTGAATTAAACATTAAATATTAAATATCGTCTTTTATTAATACAATTTATACGCATATTTTTTAATAACTATTGGAAGTCATTGATATAATATTGTCCAACTTAATCATGCCACACGCTTCGGATTTAAATGCCCGAGTAAAGAATTTCTTAATGCTCGTTCACATTTGATGACTCAATTATCGTTTGAACTCATTGAACTCGGATTATGTCTATATATATGTATATATTATGTATATATATTTATATAACATATATAAATACAGACAAGGGCAGAGCGAATCACTGTTGTTGAACTGTGGTAACCACAATTCACAATATTATATATTTAAACTGTTAACACTTAGTGCTAATCCAGGGTCAAGAGCAAGGTATATAAATGCATACAATTGTCATGAAACTTTTATGTATTATTTATCTTGTAAGTTCAATCTACAACTGCGAAAAATAGTTAAAAATTATTAAGTGTAACTGTTTAGCTTAACACCCATCGATTGTAAAATCATTTGCATATATTCTAAAAATTATATCAGATTTACTTTAAAATATCCAATTCAATCATAAGATTTGACAATGTTTGCCATACGAACGTGTATAACTGTTGAAATTCACTTTAAAATCGAATATGAAATTCGCTTAAATTCATGGAATTGGAAATACAAGGTAGAACTGAATGGAAAGGTGCAAAAATCCAGATATCAGCTGTATTGCATAACCCAATTAAACTCATTTTATTAGCTGACACAAAGCGAATTCTTTTATTAATTGGAAATAGTTCATCGGGTTTCAATGGCGTTTACATCTTCTGGCATACATTTGGAGTAACTGTTATCTGGGCCCCAATATCGTTATATACTTCACAAGCTGTCATATTATTTTTATGATCATTATTGTTAGAGGTGCGCGATGTTGGCGGATATTGTCATTCTAGATGTTGTCGTTGTTGCTGTTGTTATTGTTGTCGTTGTTGTTGTTGCTGATATTGCTATTGTCGTTGACATCGAGCGCTTTCAATGTGCTTGCCTTTTAGTTAACGCAGTTACTATTGTTGTAGCCACTCATTGGCAACTGCTCTGTTTCCCTCAGCTGCTGCTGTTGTTGTTGTCGTTGTTTATTACACACAAAAGGCACATTTGTTGATTGAGTCTGCCTGTTTCGACCACAATAGCTAGTTGACAATAGAAAATTTTGCACTACGATAGATTCTGTAACTAATTGGAAAGAGGTTTTTATAGAAGTGCTCAATGCTTCAAGTGATTTTCCCTTATCAAAATCCCAAAATGACCAGCAAATGGTAAACAGTCATAGAATCGTATTATAAAAAGTAATACACATTTAATATCAACTCTTATTAGAGATCTTATTAGAGATTTGAGACAAGGCTAGGAAGCTAATGAATTTAGCATTAATTTTTAATAACATAAACTTTGCGCTCTTATCAACTAGATTAATATCGACATATCCTATCAAAATGTTGCCATAGTAACCATAAGTCGATAAAAAAGTGATGAGTCGGTTAAACAAATGCATTGCATTGTCACATACATTAATGCCATTATATTGCTATATGAGTGTCAGAGTATTGCATCTTTCATTTCGTTCTTCTCCATTTTTCTCTTATAACTAGGCGCAGTTTTCACTTTATTTATAGCTGCAAAAAGTGAAGAACGTGAAGTTTTTCCTTTTATATTTTGCTATATTTAGCGCGCCAGGCCAAAGATTTGTGTGTCAGGAATCTTAAGAGAGGAGTTGTCGGGGAGCAGACAGCCTGCATGGCGTGCATAACCAGTTTATGGCCTTTCTGTAACCAGTCCACCACCCAAACCACTCACCCACGGTCTGCGGGAGCGAAAAGCCGCGAATGCTTCCACTAAAAACTGCAATGAAAATAAATGCGCACGAAAAAAGAATTGAGCGCACTTCAAGTAGTTCCCAGGGGGAGAGTGGGCGGTCGTGCTCACAGCTTGAGCTTCAAAGGCTTGAAATGGTTACGAGGTCGTCTTTGTTGTATGTTGGTCACTTTTACTGTTACACACACACACTCACGCACACCTACAACCAAAGGAAATGAGCTCATTTGGTTGACATTTTCCAGTTCATTTGCGTTGATTAGCACTCTGGCCTGAAATTTCATTTAGCTTGGCTGAAAGCCAATTAATATTTCGCACCACGACACCAAAATCCAATTCGAGCTCGAATTCGACTTCGAATTAGAGCTTAGCAAAGGTCGCCAACAACAAGAAGAATTACATAAACGTTACGCGTCACAACAATCCATGACTAATCCCCCCTTAAGAAAGGCGTGAAAAGAGAACCGCAAGAACCTCTCGCTGACGTCAAAAGCACAGCAGCGAAAAGAAGAGCTGCGATCATGCAGGCATAGGCACGGTTATATATGTATGTGAGTCAGCCTTAAACAGTGTTGCCACTATACTAACACAATATAAATGATTTTAAAACACAACAATGTATAGTAATATATAGGGGTAAGATAATATATTCCACAATGGCATTTCAAGAAAGCAAATTTAACTCAAATCTCACTATCGGGCTCCCAGTATTGACTCAGTCAATAGTATACATGTATTGGCGAAGTCTAGGTTTCATGGGAACTCTGGCAGCACTGTTCCAACGCGAGTGCAAAGAGCGTTAGTTTGCAGACAGAAAAAATGCGAGAGATACAGAGCGACAGAGAGAGAGAGAGATCAAATAACTTTGGACGCTGTTAGCAAAGGTTAAATGCTCAATTTGTTGTCTGGCCCCCGTTATATTTCGCACATTGTCATTTGATTATTGCGCGCTCGTTTCGACTTATCAGTTGAGGGGCACAAAGAGAGTGCAACTAAATATTTAATAGTTTCTTTAGTGGATACGATGAAAAGCGCCAATTAGTTCTAGCTAATCACTAGCTACTCATTACCGCAACCGGTTCGAGTGTTCGGTTCGGGTGTTTCGGGATTTTATTCGAAAACGGGTTGATGACGCACTCACCTTATAGATTTGTATCTCCTCTAAAACAACTTCCGATTCCTTGAGCACGCGCTCCACTTCATCGTACACCTCCCGCTCCGTATCCGTGGGCGCGGCATTCTCAAAGTCTAGGAAAACATCATAGGATTTAGCGGCGCAGCAATTCGAATCATCGCGTGACAACAGACTCAGCAGTTTGCCCATTTTATTAATTAATTTATTACCAATGTGGCTTATTAAATATATTCAGCTTTATGTTTTTATTCTTCTTCTTTTGGTATTTTTATAGATTTTTTGTATCACTTTTGGTTGCGTTTCACTCTATTGTGCACTTGTTCACTCTGTAAGGTAAAGTAGAATGGGGAGATTCATTAGGCATTAGCAGCTGCGCTCCGTATTGCTGAAGAGCTGCACCTGTTGTTCGTGCTATCTCCTAAGGGTTAATAAATTGTGACAGCAACAGCTGCTATGATTACATAGTGGACAAAGTAAACAGTTCTTTTTAACAGAATAAGAGACACAGAAAGGGAATACTAACAACTGCTAGCAACGACGACATTTGCATTGCGGGGGGTGATCTGCACCGAGGCTGTTTGCCATGTGTCTCACTGGCCATGTGTGTGTGAGTGCGAGTGTGCGTGTGTATGTGTGTGTTTGTTCTGTTGAGAGCTGCTTGTGCGCAGGAAATGGTGCAAAACTAAAACTTATCGAAATTAGTAAACAACTACGCACACACACATGCAAACACACACACAGAGGCAATCACCGCAAGGCCAATGTTCACAGCAAGTAGCAAAAGGCAATTTTCCTCGCCACGCTGCCACATGTAAACATTTTAGACAGCCCCATTTCCACCACTCCCCTTAAACACTCATTCAAATTAATAGGATGAAGAAGAAAAAGCAGCCAAAAGTTTGAGCGAGTTCCTTTTATTAATAATTTTATTGTATTGTCCACACATATGTATGCAAATATGTATGTGTGTTACCGTCATCGCACTGAGGCTTTGTTTATCTGCATCGCCTTATCTGGCTGTCACTTCTCTTTTAAATACCCTGCAGCAGTTGCAGAAAGGGGTAGCTGGTAAATATGTATATCAGTCTATAAACTAAACATATGGCAATCATAGAATTCATTTGTTTACTATTACTTGTATTAAACATATGCTATGTTTCACATCAGTCAACAGTGCTGGCGATAACAATTCAATTTAATATTCGAAATACTGGGTATCTTCTAGTCATGCACTTCAAACAGCAATTGCTGCTGCTGCTATTTTGCGCGCTTATCTGTTTTGTTATATGCACACAGTTTTATTATTTCTCAATGGCTGTTTTAGGGTGGATTTGTGGATTATTCCTGCATTGGAATTTCAGCAAATATATGAATTTCATCGAATACAAAAAAAAAACAAACACACACAAACAATTGCGCGCTTATCACCTTTTTCGCAGCAATTGCTTGAGAACTTGCGTATCGTAATTTCCGCCGTTTATTAGACTTATTTAATTGTTGCGTTCCTGCAGTTATGCTCAAAACATCGCAAGCATTCACACAAGGATTGTGTTTTAAAAATATAAAAACATACACCACAAAATACACGCCGCAACACACGCGCAACCACCACTCTCAACGGCAGCTAAAAACGTACTAAATTTGACATTCTTAAACCTGCCAGGCAGACCATATCGCTAAAATCAAATTTACCCTTAACAGTTGGTATGCAGCTTAGACAATATGCATACCACAGGTGGCTGTAAATATACATTTATAGGATATACGTTAAATATTGATTAAATGTTACTTTCATGTAAAAATTTGTATAGGTTAATAGAAGTGTGGAACTATTATTTTTACAAGCATAAATTCTGAGCAGCGTACTAGTTTATTATCAGCTTAGTGTTGGAAACTGAGCAATCGAAAATGTGATGACTGTTTCAAAGTGTGTACACACTGTAACTCTACTTTTTCGTTTCCCAGTTTCCTGACAAAAATCGAAAAACATGAGTGAAGGCAGCAAAAAGTCCCAACTGGACGAAGTCCAGCTACAGCTAATCCATCGTATATCAAAGAATGACACTAGCGGCTTTAAGCAAATGTTGGGCCAACTAAAAGGCGGCGTCAACTTCGTGGACGACAGCGGAATGTCCATACTAGCGCACGCCAGCTTTAAGGGCAACAAGGAGGCAGTGCAGCTGCTATTAGATATGGTAAGACAGCTCAATAAACGTGAAGCGGAATTACTTACATCTCAACTTAACAGGGAGCAGACATTAATTTGAATCAGCATGGCGCCGATTATACGCCGCTCCATTTTGCCGCCTTGTCCGGCAACACGCACGTGTGTCGCCAGCTCCTGGATGCCGGTATCAATCCGAACAGTATAAATAGCGTAAATCGCACTGCCTCCCAGATGGCCGCCTTTGTGGGCAATCACTCGTGCGTGGAGACTATTAACAGCTATGTGACATGCTCCAGTTTGGAGTACTACACCCAGCTGCACGGCCAGCAGACGGAGCCGTATATTCCGGCCGTGTTACTACGGGCGTTCCACAGTTTTGTTACCGAAATCAATCTGCATCCCGTTCGAATTACGCTAAATGCCCAATCGTTGGGTCTGCTCAAGGTGCTACCTAATCTTCGCAAGGCTTTGTCGTTGATGTGTGAGAAGGAAATGCAAAAGAGCCACGACATAAACGAGTTGCTCGCATTTAAATTCCACTACCTGGCCTGGATCGTCAGTGAGCTGCTGCGTTGTGAGGAGCAGTTCAAAGCGCAGCACAAGGAAAAGACCGATGACAATGACGCCAGCAAAAACGACTTCATTGAAGTGTTCGTAAAGCGCGTTCTCAAGGAAAACAAACTCGGCCAGCTGGACTATGTCGAATTTACTGTGCGCGAATGCGCTCGAGAGTTTCCCTTCCGCGATTGCACAATCTTTCGCCAAATAGCCACGCAGTTGGGTGCGAAGGATGCACCGCCCGCGCTCGTCATACTACGCAATGCCATTAACGGAATGCGCGGCTTTGTGGTGAGTCTGAGAAAGATTAAGAAGTGCTGTTAACTAAGTCGCTCCTTTTGCATTTCGCAGGACGAGTGTAGCTACTGCAGTACTTGCGGTCAGGAGAAGCCAGACAAGAAATGTTCCAAATGCAAGGCGGTCCAGTACTGCGATCGCGAGTGCCAGCGGCTGCATTGGTTTATGCACAAGAAGAGTTGTCCTCGTCTCTTGGCCGCTGTCCTGGCCGGCGGCAAGGATCAGCCGAAGGGTCCCATCGATACATCCGAACTGCAAGAGGAGCTGGCCAAATTGGCAGCATAATGTCCTGATGATTACCTGAATTTTAAATAAATCGAATAAGATTTGTTTAAAAAGAATCGCAATCCCATTTTACAGGATATCTATCTGGTCAGCTGTTAAATACCAATAGCGCCATCTATTGAATCAGCATGTAAGATAATCTGCAAAGCAAAGATACAAACTAGATAGCAAGCGCCAGGGTGAATTAGCTAATTTTAAATGCCAGTAATTGACATTTTAATTTTATTTTTATGAAACATTTGTCCTTCGTTGCTTCTAATAACACTCTTTAAATATATGGTTACGGAAGCCAAGTTCCTATATTTCAGTTTTACTCCAAATCAGCTATTAAATAGCGCCATCTATGGGCACAGTGGTATAATATCGTCTGTGTAGCTGAGACACACACCAGATGGCATTTCCGCTAAAAATTTAAATTTCGATAACCAGTTTTGTCTTAATCTGAAATTCAATTAAACATTTCGCTCATTTCTTGTTTTCCGTTGAGTCGTTAAGCCAAGCACGCCAACAGTTTTATAGTCGAATCATATGCATATATTATATTTAGTAACATAAAAACAAGCGATCACGTACGAACAGAGCAACACCTTTACAAAAGCAGAAGAAGAAGACAACAAAAACAATAAAGCATCATTATCGGAATCGTCATTATCAACAGCTTTGACCGCAAAACCGGATTACAGAGAGCACAGCCCACACATAAAAATTCATTAAGTATATTAAAACAAACACAAATTAGAAACGTGAGCGAAAACATTTGCATTTTTATCGCATAATCTACGAATTTTGACGCTTTTTGCCACTGTTTTTAACAAGAAAACGAAATCAATATACAATACAATATGTACATATATTTATAAGTCCAACAAATTAAGGCTCAGCATTTAAAAAACACTTCCAAAGCGCTGATGCCGCCAACATCTCGTTGGGTGAAAACGTGCAAATCACATTATTTAATTGTTCCAAAATTTAAAAACCAAATTTATGTGACAAAAACTAAGATGAAGATTCAAAAAAGGCCAAAATTAGTTAAGGCAGCTCGAAAACAATGTCCAAACTTCGTGTAGTCAGTGAATTATTTCGCGCTGGCTAAAAAATTATGCATGAAATATGCAAAGATTTCTATGAATGAAATTAAATTGACTAACGAATAAATGAAATGAAATAAAACTTTCAATGAATATTTGAAAAGGAAGCAGAGAGAAGCGATTTGAACTTAGCCGTAATCAGACTAAAATTCCTAGCCTAAAAACTTAATTAAAGTTATTAAACTGAAAACGGTTGGCGCCACCGTTTGCCCAAGCCTGCAGCATGGACCGCACGCATGCGTCGTGAATGTCGCCCGCTGGCTTATCGCGGCAATTATGCAGGCCAAAAAGGCTGCCGCCGTGCCACAGACAGATTTGTCGCATTCGACGCGATAATAATGCATGGCCACACCATTCGATCCGATCCCCACTTTCCAGTTACCCGACTCTCGACTCACGACTCACGACTCCCGATTCCCAATGGCCAACGGCCATAAAAGGTGCGATAAAAACTAAAATTTCACAAGCCGTCAAGAGATGCACAGCAACAGCAGCAGCAGCAACAGCAACAGCAGCGACTTCTGCGTCATCAGTCGACAGTCGCGAGGTTCGGCAAAGACCAAACGCCTTCAAAGCCGTCAAATCGCTGCTCATAATGGATGCCTTATCTGCGAGAATTGTTTTAACTACTACCGGAGTTCGTTTTAGGCCAGCTCGAACGTTCGTTCTCTTTTGCTTTGCGGTGGCGCTGATGGAGCACATTAATTTGCTTTGCGGCCCGCCAAAGTTGTTTCGACTTGCAAAACCTGTAAAAACGGAAGCGACGAAGGCTGTGGGGTCTGCATACGCTGCTTGGCATAGCTATCGATTAACCAAACTATCGACTCTCGTGTTTCGATACATACAAGGCTGAGGACTTATCGAACAGTTTTTTATTGGAATTTTGCTTTATTTGTAAGCTGGGCTTAAAACTAATTAACATATTACAACTTAAGGCTCATATACTGCACACTGTAATCACAACAAAAGCTTAAATGGGGGCGACATCATCCTGGCTGCGTTTAATAGGCCAAAATAGCAGAAATGCTGAAACTATTGCGTTTCGTCGAAGTTGTTGCACGCGGCGAGCTTGTTGGAATGCTAGCAGCCGGCGGAGGCGTGGATGAAGTGGAAGTTGCAGCTGCTGTCGCAGTTGCCGCAGGAGTCGTCACTGGTGTTGGCGCAAATGCAGGCGATGGCATTGGAGGTGCTGCTGCAAAGTAAGCCGCTTGTATGAAAGCTGCTCCAGGCGCATAACCAAGCGCATGTCGATACGAATGTAAGGATGGACTTAGGGCTGGCCCTGCAGCAGAAGTAGTAGCAGCCGGATAGTATTCCGGAGACAAACTACGCTGCGAGTCCAGTTCAAAGTCCGAACGCTGACGCTTTGCTTGGGGCGAATCGCAGCTGCTCACGCTGGAGCCATCATCTTCGGAGTCTGCAGTGGAGTTAGAGCTGCTGTTTAGCTTACGCTTGCAGCGCGACTGGCCGGACTCGCGGAAGCCCTTGGCAAATGGATTGTTGTCAATCTTTAGCTTAGTAATGCGATCGTTCTGCAAAACAAGAAATAGACAACATTTGGGTTAGACTTGATGCTGTAATCGGAGCTGGTTGGCGTCATGAAGTATTCATAGACGTTGCTGTCGCCGACGCAGCAGCAAAACACTTGAGCATTGGTGTCAATGCAGCAGACAATCAACGACTCTTCACAATTTGTGAACGTCTGTCACAATGGCTCAAGTGGATTTTGCGCATGCGGGCGACAATTAGTCGCTGACCCCCCGCGGCTGCATTTTATCTGATGCCATCTTTGATGAAATACTCTAGCAAGAATGAAAGGTCTCATGAGTTACCCACCTGATAGGCAGTTACTGCGACAAACTCCGTTTCCGGAAAGACGAATGCCTGCTGCGGCGCCCACGGCAGTTGGGTGAGCTCGCTGCTACGGATGACATGGAGACGTGGCTGATACTTATGCATGCTGGCGAGCACAATCTGTGTAAAAAAAATATGCTCTTCATTAGTTATCGTCAAATTGCTGTGCAAGAGTTAAGGCCACTTACATGTCCATTGCTGTCGAGTGTGTTGTTCGTCAATTTAACCTTGTTGAAGAGCAGCGCCTGCGATTGCCAGTGGGCGCCCGTTGCCGGGCTATCCGGATGCAGATACATGCGCTGTGGACTCTGTGGTTCGGCGCCGCCAGCTGGCACCCATTGGGAGCCGGAGAACTTGTAGCGACAGTCGCCAATGGGCACCATTTCAAGCAGGACGCAGTAGCTGGTATCCTCCTCCAGCCCGCTCAACGAAACACGCATCGATGGAAACATGCGTCTGCAAGAGAACCACAATAATAGAAGTTGATTAAGTGGACCAAGGTACAATGGGTATTTTCATATGAGTATTTGTTTGTGGTAAGCACATAAATCAAGGTTCTCTTTCTAAGCGCAAAAAAGGCGTTGCCTGGCACTTTGATTTGTGGCCCGGCCTAACAAGTGTGTAATTATGAACAGCGGGTAAGGAGCGAGGGAACGTTGCACCGATTTAAAACGAACCGAAAACAAATACCCAAAACCGGGTATATCAGACTGAAAACAATACATACTATAGTTTCTATAGAGTTTCGTATGATTAATTGCAGGGAGCGCTGCGCATGGCGCCAAACAATTATTTGAGATCTGATCTGATCTGTCGGGCATGCAGCTTAACGGCTTCCAAATGTGGCGCTACGAGCACTCAATGCATGTCTAATGAGCCGAGAAAGTGGACACACTGCATCTACTCCACGCACACGCACACACACGCCAACTGGCTAGCTCATAATTATGTTAATTTCGAGCGCGCAGCGATCGGTAGTCGGTAGCTATCAGAAAATATGCATAAGATACTAGAGGGCCAACAAAGCGGTCCATTGTGGGCAAACGTGTGAAAACGCAGGTAGAAAACCAAGCTGAGCCCTATGTCCCCGGCCGGGCCTGTCGGCATCTTCGTCTCGCAGCATTGTCAAAGCTGGGCACAGATTTTTTCTTTTTATGAGCGAACCGGCGCCAGGACGGCGGTTGCGGCTGCACTTGTTGTTGTCACTGTTGTACGTCGCCGGCGCAGCGAGCGAGCTCCTGCTGCGTTTTGAATTATCGCTAGGCGCCACATTAGGCCACGGCCAAAGAGAGTGGCAGACGAGAGACAGCCGGGTCATGGCAAATATTGACATAGGCCGCGCTGCACTTGACTTTTCAAGTTTCAGAATACATAGACGACCTCGCAGCTATTTGCATAGGATGTGGCACAGTTCTTGGGAATCTTACCTGCCGCTCTTGGTGATGATCATTTCGGTGCCAATCTGATGGAACTGCTGCCACAATTCGTTATTCTCCAGCTTAGCATCCACGCCCGGCAACGTCGGCCGTCTGGGCATCATAATTTGCTGCGGCTGCGCCATGTGCATGGGGAGCATCGCCGGAAAGGGATCTGTTGGTTAGAATTCGATGTATATACATATAAGATGAGCGTGTTGCTTAGAAGTTGTTTGGTTAGTTCGTTAGCTGGCTGTCGACTTGTTCAGTAACCAGCTCTAAAATGGTTTATCGATTTATACAGATGATAAATTATGTCTGAACCGAAATTGCAAAAGACTAAATGCATATACATATGTATGTGAGGCATTTATATATACAGTCGTTGTGGACTGATCTACTAAGTGATTGGCAAAGTATATAAATTGTACATATAGAGATCAGTCTACGTCGCCTCCAATCAGACCACAAATAGCCAAGTGAATCATATACGTAGTATAAATACATATATTGAGTATTTTACATAACTTTAAATTGATATATGTAGATTAAGATTCCAAGCAATTTCATATTTGATAGTTTTGTTCTTTATCTTAAGCTTTTGCCGTCGGCACTCGAGCAACTCGTCTGCTCATCTATGACAAACTTACCCGGTATGCGTTGCATGATCTGTTGACGGTATATCTCATGGGCCAACTGCTGTTGCATTTGCATATCCATTAGTTCGTGCATGGACAACATGTTGCAAATATCGATTAAGTCGAATACTTCACTGCAAATAGACTTCACTTGGTATTGGTTCTAATGGTTCTTTGAGCTCTACGTTCGAGGTTCTGGCACGCACGACGTTTCGCAACCAACTGATCTTGAGCGGAGCGAAGCAGTCGCTTAGCTGCGTGTGCGTCGTAGCCGGTTCCAGCCAGAGCCCTGTAGCAGCAGCTACCTGCCAGACCGGTTTGAATAGCGGCGCACGCTGATTGGCTGGCTGCGCAGCCGCCTACGCTGACTGCGGCTGCGACTGAGGCCTCGACTTCGACTTCGACTATGGCGCACTCGCTCTGACGACGTGACGACGATCGTGCGCCATTTTGTGTGAAAATGCGAGAGGAAAACGAAGCTGCTAGCTGCAGAGGCAGCAGCAATTGTGTGGACCGTGCTGGGCACCTAGTGGCGAAGTTAACGCTTAGCACTGTTGATTTTCATCAGCCGCAGTGTTTTTCTGCGCCACTGGCTTTTTCGCTCCCTCTGCCGCTGACCCGCTATCTCGCTCTGTTGCACTGTCAGTCAGACTTCAATGTGGCATGCTTTGTAATTCAGAAGTGAGATTTTCCACAGCGCGCCTGTCTGCAGCACCGGCAGCAGACAACAGCCAGAGTAGACGGCAGACGGCAGACGGCTGGAAAAATGCCCGTTGCTATTTTCATTTCTCCCTCTTGCCTCGCTTTGCTCATGAGGGTCTTTGGGTCTGTGAGTGGGACTGCGACTGGATCTGGGTCTGGATCTGTTTCGTTTTGGGCATACGCCGTTTTTCGTGCCGTGTAATTAGCCACCATCTTGGCTCTTGTTGGCATTGTCTGGCATTTTGTATTTATGTATTTTATGCAGACAGGTGAAACATAAATTTTGTTGCTTTTGTTAATTGCCCGTTTCGGAATTTCGAAATTCCGCTGCCATATACAGGCCAGTTGCTATATATTTTTTTTTTGCCAGATTGCTCACGATAGTTTTCCAAAAATGTATACATTTTGGGCCTGTGCAGGTTCTGAACTATTGATTAGTGCTTGTCAGCACTGAAAATTGCCTCTAATCACAGTTCCTGTTGTGCATTCCCCGAAACCTACAGGAAGTCAGCATGAATGTGAAATCGTCGATTTTCCTATGATTCATAGGCAAATAAATGTTACATTTAGATCAAGGACTTGTCTAGCAGCGATTGCTATTAAAGACCAGAATATAAATTCCCATTTACTGGCAAAGACTTGTGAGGCATACACATATTAAGAGCTGTCCATTAAAGATAAAGTAAACTTTTCTGAAGTAATAATTATTTCCCCAACCCATTTCATGATCTCAACTGAAAATATGCTATCGAAATGTAAGATTATTCTCAATAAATTCACGAGTTTAGAAGATTATATTGGGTTTATGCCATTTCCGCCTTGTTGTCAACCCATTTCGCTGCTATTGAAGCTAAAACTTGGTGCTTGCACTCGTCTTATAACATGTTAAGACTTTCCCGGTCACCGCTATATGTGTTGTAAATTGGGCAATACTATATATACTATATATACGGTATACAATTTAAAATGTATACTCAATTCGATAAGAAATATATATAAAATATATCTACACTCATTGATATCCAGGTTAGTCGAGTAAAACTGCCACAGTTGTAGAACTAAAAGCCCAACAAGAATAACGACCTAGTTGACCTCTCTCCTCTATTGATTTATCTTGGGGACATTGAAAATCGGTTAAAATATAGCTTTCAATGTTATGAAGTTAAGTTAGAGGCAGTCTACAGTTCCTCTTAAGGAGTACTACAAATAATTTACTTGTTTTTCTACCGTTTAAATTTTGATATGAATTTCTTATTTGATATTTAGTTAAGATAATGCTAAAATGCGAGATCAGTTTCATTTATATAAAATATTTGTTTTAGATAATGCGAAATTATGTATTTTTTGAAAGGAAGTTTTCGTGTCTGATTACTCTTTCAACCTATTAACATTGTGCAAAAGAGACATTATCTTGGCATTGACATTGATCTTGAAGTAGTATGAAAATATAGATATTCATATACAAACATTAATATATGTATATATCATAGCCAAGTCGACAGACTCTGCCACATAGTCTCCGTCACATTTCCTATGCGAAGGCGACACTTTCATGGGAATCTCTCAAATACAATTTGCACTTCACTTCAAGCGCTACGACGACGTCAAGTTTATTCGCCAGCAAATAATTTCGAGCTTGACTTCACTGCTAACGGACTAGAAAGGCTTCCAGCTAAACGCAATGCGAATTCGCTTGACGCGTTTCGGACAAATTAGCACTTTTTGACAGTGTAGACGGCATATTTCCGGCGAACCAGGCAGCCAACCAAGCCAACCAAGCCAACCAGCCCGCCAGCCAGCAGATTCGCTCCCAGACTACTGCATATGTTGGCTGCCTATGCGACGGCGGGCGCCAGTGCATCGTAAAATATTGGTACAAATAGCCAGCGCAAACTTTATTTGACAAAAATACAAAAGGAGGCGAACAAAAGATATGAAATCGTAATGTTTCACGCCTGCTTGCAGCGCGAACCGACAAAGAATATCGGCAACAAAAGGGCCAGACAGTCGACTACTGGATGCTGGACAGCAGCTGTGCTGTTGCAGGCACTTTTATGGCTTATCAGCCAGATAGACCAGTTGAGTCAGGTGTAATTGCGTCACTAAACGGCGCAATCGGCAAGGCAAAGTGGGCAAGGTCGTCGACGCGACAGCAGCAACGCCCACAGAGCGGACAGAAGATCTGAGAGGCGACTCGGCCATGGTGTGAACTGAGCTGTAGCCAGGCGATTTCTCGTTTCCAAATCAACTTGAGATGTTTTGCGGGCTTGTACCTGACACAGAGACGTCGGACGTGACCGGTCGCCAATTGAAGCAATAATATTCTATTGTTGTTTGTCGCGCGACGCGACAAGTGGCTGGCAGCGGGCACTCTCAAGAAGCGCTTGGCGCCAGCCGCCGAGATCCTGCAGTCCTTTGTGTGTCGCTATCTGCCGACTGCGCATCTGCGCCGGACAGTAGCTGCTTGGCGACATGTGTTTGGCTGTGATAAGAGATTACATGCAGCTACCGTTAGGCAACTGCCAACTGGCAGCTGATGAGGCGAACTGGCTAAAGCAATCGGAAGCTCAGCCCCTGCGGGCGACTGCCCACATGGCTTGTGGACAGACCATGTCAAATCTCAGGGCTAATTAAAATATACCTATGCAGACATATATAAATAGCTAACGAAATGCGTTTATTAAAAGACCATCAACATTGTGGTTATTGGAGCCATAATCAAGGGGCAGACAGGTTGCATTTTATGCTGCCCCTAGAGGCACAACATATCAATAAATCATGGATAACCCTAATTAACCCATACGCAGAGAAAGGCTCGGTCTGTGGATTGTCACCTGCACGAACCGTTTTCGATGCTCGAGCATCAATAAATACTACAACAAGTTACACATAATTTATGAAAACAACAAAAAAAACATCATAAAATAATATAAATGATATAAACGACACTGTCTGCGCCTAATAAGCCGCACTGCGAGGCGTTGCCCAGCCCCGAATCCTGAGAAAAACAAGCATAAAGATGCAAACTATGCGATAAGTCGTCAGTTCCAGTCCCAGTCCCAGTCCCAGTCCCACTCCCAGTATCAGTTGCAGTCGAACTCTGAGTTTTAGGCGCCTGCAACTAAATGCTAAACGAGTTAACTCGCTGATAGAGATCTTTGGGTAAATACTAAGCTGCAGCTCAAGGTACGTTGGCCATCATTAGGGCAACTAAAGAGAATAAAAAAAGAACAACAACAACAGCCCAGACCCAAGCCACAACGATGATTTAATTTTCCATCACGCTTTCTACCAGAGAAAAAAGTATAGCCAAAAAAACGAAGAATCAGAAAAAGCAACACCAGCATGGGTCGAGCTCGATTTTGAATGATCGATGGACTGTCGTTGAGATGATCACTTCTCGTGGCTGCCTAGCGGCTACTAGTTGAGATACTTAACGATGAGCCACCGATAGCTCGACCCAGTGCCGGGCATTATAATTTGTTAAGATGTTTGTTTCGATCGTTCGATCGATCTCTGCAACCTTTTCCAAAAAGAAATGGCCCCTCCCGGTCCCCCTCAATCTCTTTCCCTGTTCCTTTCCACTTCTTTACATATTTGTGATTCTCACGTTGTGAGGCTCCACTTAAGCTGGCTACCCCGGACAGAGCCTGTCACAAGATCAGCAATCCATAAGTATCTGTTAGATGCCTTAAGGCCAGGCGCCCACAAGTGCCATAGCCTGAGAGCGATGAGGCTACTGATCGCTGTGATCATCGGGACGTCGCCACCAGGGCGCTGTTATCAGCAGTTCGGCATCTGGACACATTACATTGCTACTTAAGATACATTCTCCGGGCTGTGGTATCGATTGCCAGCGTTTCGCCATATCGATTACAACGTCGCGACACGACCGACCCGTCGCAGGCGGCGGCGGCTTCCCTTTGCGTTGGCCTAGCGGCAATTGACCTGAGCACAGAAGTCGATCTATGTAATCGATACGAGATCTCAATCTCGATCTCAATAGCAAACGCGATCGCGATCGCGCTATTTGCCAAGCCAACTCAAACGTACATGCGATCGTTTACTGTCTCTTCCTGCTACAACATTTGGCGGCCTTCTACTCTGTGATCTTTGTGTCGAGGTCGTGGTAGGGCGGCTGCGATTTGCTTGAGTTTGTCATTGATCAACGATTGCCACTGGCCATTTGACAGTCGTTTTGCATGGACCCGCTCGACCATGAGCTGATCTCGAATCTCCAGCCAGCCAGTTGGGCTGCCCCTCATTTAGCATGCCACTCACAACTTCATCGCACTAATTAAAATAAATTCTGTCAGACATTCTCGTTTAATTTTTTCGCGCACCTCCATTTGGACTCGTTGCCCATTTCATAACAGCAGCAAGTGAATAAAAAATAACAGGTCACATTCTAGCAGCCGAATATCAGTTACCCTGTAATCCGTAAAGTCACTAAATTATATGATCTTACCTATAGGGCAGTTCAAATTTTGATAAGAAAATTAAAT